CGTTATACCGAACTTGGGGTTACTTGTAAGTTAGTAAATAGGGTAATGTTATCACGTTTGTTCCGTTTCACAGGGTTAGTACGGATGCTTGTTTGTTTGTTATGAATTTCGCGCAAAGCTACACGAGGGCTATCTGCGCTAGCCGTCCCTAATTTTGTAGTGTAAGACTAGAGGGAAGGCAGCTAGTCATCACCACCCACCGCCAACTCTTGGGCTACTCTTTTACCAACGAATAGTGGGATTGACCGTCACATTATAACGCCCCCACGGCTGAAAGAGCGATCATGATTCGAACCCGCGACCCGCAGATTGCGAGTCGAGCGCCCTAACCACCTGGCCATGCCGGGCCAGTACGGATGCGATACATTATAATGTCCTATTTTAAATTGTAAATTACAAGAAAATATATAAGAAATATTAATAATACTTTATTTCTCAGCAAAGTTTTTTAGAAGGCTGATTAGATCATGAAGTATCCAAAGGTTTGAGATAACTCAGTTTGCATAATTACCAGTATGAAAAGTTAAATGAAACAAGATAAAGGAAAAAAATAATCCTATACTACTTTTAATTCATTTGGCGAGTGACATTAAGTTACTTTAGATTAATAAAGTACCAGCATTTCATACGTTAAACAATTTAATATCTTAATTAAAGCATTAAATAAGATACAGACCACTACAAAATCTGTACCTAGACTTAGAAATTAATGAACAAAGAATTTAAATTTATCAAGTAAACGTAATTTAAAATGTATTACGCTGACAAAATATAAAGATAATTATATTTTTGTGCCTTCTACTATTGATGTTTTAGATTAGGTAGTAAAACCAAATTTCAAGTAATATTGCTAATTTAAGGGATTTTTCTAAGCCTTATTTGAATAAAAACTAGAGACGTCGCTCACTTCTGATTTTAAGCTCCAGATTTTCTTCCGTCAGTTCAGTCAAAATTTATTATTTTAAGATGTTTTGAAAGTAAAATATGCAGGTAGACTTTTGTGATAGTTTAAACGTTTTGCGACATTTTGTAATAACTCATAAAATCTTTGAAGTCGCGTATTTCACATAGGAAAGCTTTTATATATTTTTAGCCGCGGCATAGTGGCTCATAGAACGGCTTTGAGTTTGTTTTTCTCAAGTACAAACTTTTAGCTCATAGCTCCGTCATCTCTTGGTGGATTTGAGATCTAATTACAGTTTTGGGCTCAGGAGATCAAACCATTTCGATGAATTTATTTGATCATGTCCAAGGTCTCATAGAGTAATTTTCTTTACTCCTGTCTAAAATAATTTCAATTTGAGGGTTAGAGATCCTGGTGAGTAATAAAATCGCATCGTTTATACGCGCGCCCCACGCTTGGTATTGTTGGCGCACAAAAATATAGCTAGTAAAGGAAAAAAAGATCTCATTGAATAATTTACTCTTACTTTGCGTAAAAGGAATGTTAAGTGCCGCGGCTATTGAGGGTTCCCTCTTGTTTTTGCAGCAAAACTGAGCTAAATCAAATTAAACTTATAAATATTCACGTATTTTAATAAACATATTTTCTCTTTTTTGTGTGAAACATTTCATAGGTGTATTTGTTAAACTATGTAGTACTGTATATTTATTCTAGTTTAATTTAATTTAAATTGGACACACAGTAGATGCAGTTTTTCTGATGGGCATAGTCATTAAAATATAGCGTGGCATTTCGAACTGATATATCTTCAACATTTTGTTTTTTTTTAAAACGGATCACTAAATCTTAAATTATTCTTTGCCTGTATTTCCCACTGGGCTATGAATGACGTTGGTTTCATTGCTGAATTTTCATTGTATCTTGTTTTTTTGTTATTGTCTATGAACGAAACTAATGAATAAGTTCGACATTCTAGCACTGAAGACCATATTTTCTCAGTGACACCTGCTTGTTAACAATGACACTGTAGCAATGCTTATTAACAATAATACTGTAGCAATGTTTCCATGAGCTTTCTTCAGCGAACAGTTTTTTCTTTTGTACGGCTTCCCATTAACCGTTTAATATCTTAGTTCTACAACTTCCAAGCGCACGCTAAAAAAACCCAAAGGCACAGAAATACATTAGAAATGCTTAAGGAGACTTGATAACTATGTCGTTCAAAGGATAACTGTGAATTCAGTTTTTTTTAACCTCCTTTCTCTGGAAAACAGCCATTGTATTTCGGAATGTAATGAAAAGAGTCATTAATTTTGAAATGTAACTGGACACTAGTGAACAGCGCCAACATCAAATTCGTATTTTCTTCTTAGTGTGAATAGGAGATACGTCGTCTTTAATTGAAATGGCTTTTAGGTTGGAATATCCTATTTCACTTTTTTTGACAAGGAAACTGGTTCAAAGTGCTGTCGTAAACGTTCTGCTGTGTACAGTTCCCGCTTCTATAGAAAACAATGAAGTCTCCTTTCTTCAAAATATTCTGTTCCTTAGACTAATTTAACAATATCGCTATATGAATATTGTCTTCCAAAAGAGCAGTCACATACTTTCATAGTTCCAAAAAGGTTTCGAAGACATTTTTCAACCCCACTCAGCACGGTTTACTTTCAAGAGCAGGAAAGATACCTGTTTATCGCGTGATCATTTTAGAACCATTCCAATATTACAAAAAAAAAAACAGTAACCAATTTACACGTACTTTAAAAAATATATAAAAAATACTCTTTTCCATTGAATATCCTACTTACTATATTCACTTTTAGATTACCTCACTATAATTAAATATATGAATAAAATTTGTAAAGATGTCTCTTGCTTGCCATCAAAAGTCTTCATATGTTTCATTGATATTAATTACTAAGAAAAAATATATAGGAGAAACATAAGAGTAAAAACAAAGGAAAGCAATAGAAAGATCACATTAGATAAAAAAAAATCATATCAGCCTAGATCTGTAATGATTTCGTCTTTCTTAGCCTAGTTAATGAAATGAAACTTTAGACTTTAGTTTGATCAGATCACTCTATAAAACATGTTTGCACCCTCTATTTACTGAAATTATTAATGAATAAATTACAAGCTCTAGAGCCACTTGAGAGACTGAAATAGTCAACACTTCTCCTTAGGATTAACCAATATAGAAAGGTAAGTTCCATTTGTTTTTCTGCCGAAAAATGTGTTCTTGTCAAATACGGGTTTGTCTACAGGTTGTACTCACATTAAGGTATTATATTTTATTTGGTATTGAACATAGAAGCTACCAACTAAAATATAGATACTAAGATTTTAGCAACATGAATAGTCTTAATAATGCTCTATAGTTAACACAATGAATATAGATTTTCATGTTCTAATCTTAGGTTTTTCTCGACAGGTGCTACCTTACCTTTAGAAGCGTGCAGAACTGGTAGTTAAACTCTCTCTCTTTCTGTGGTTTGTAAAATGACACGCTCGTTGATTTGGAGATGTATTAAAAACACAGTTGGTTAGCTACAATACAGTCATTTGTACTGAGTATTTATAATGAGATTATCGTTTTTGTGCGTGAGAAAGATTGTGTTGTCCAAAGTAAAGAGCAAAAGTTTTTTGTTTACTTTTTTGCGACAGTGAGATGCGATTCATGGACCACAGTCCGGAACTCTATTCTTTAGGCTACGCTTGGCCTTTGGCGTACTGGCAAGGGAAAATTACTTTATATACTGTCGCAGTTTTTAAATCACTTTTAGGCAGTTAGGGCGTAGTGTATTTTTAGCATACTCGTCTTGAAGTGTCCTTGTCTGTTATGATGGAAATGTAACATTATCAGAATGCATGGCCGTCAACAACGTAAAAGCCCGCTCTGGGTGTTACTTACTCGTCAAAAGAAAAATTAAGAACTTTATCCCTGTCACAATAACTTGGGCAGCTTCAAATGTCGGAACGAAACAAGCAGGATTAAGTACATCCTGTGGCTGTTTATAATCATATTTATAGTCCATGTAATGATGTCAGAAAAACACGGAGGTTCAAGAAGTCTTGATACAAGATGATTAAACCCCCATAACCCGATCGTTTTCGAAAAGTGGACCTTTCTTCTTCAGGGGTAACTTGGAATCAGTTTGCCCCTGAAGAAGAAAGGTCCACCTTTCGAAAGTGCTCGGGTTATAGGGGTTTTATCATCTTATAGTCTACATAACTTCCGGTTCATGATTTCAAAGAGTTTCTTGTTTTTGGTCATTGTCTTACAGGTTAATCACGATCCGACTAAATTTCTCAATCTACATGGATCAAACAATCACTTAACACGTCATATGATCAACTTATTTTGTAGATGCAAATAAACAGTGTTCTACAAGTGTAGTGAGTGACGATCAATACGCAACATTTTACCGAATGGTTTGTTTGTTTCAGCGCAAAGCTCTTTCTACCACAGAGGAATCGAATCTCAGACTTTAGCATTTTAAAATACAAAACTACTTAACAACTTGAAACAAGTTACACCATTTCATCTTTAAATTTACGCTGAATATGAGCTTTCGAAAGTCCCAGCGAAAGCTTCAGATAAATACGTTTTAACTTGTTGGGAAGTCCTGGGAACTTTAACTTAGCACTATATTTTTCATTGACTAATGTTTTAAAGAATAACAAAGTGTTTCTCCAAAGCCTACCCAAAACAACGTCAGTTTTGTGAGTACGTCTAGTAAGTGATGATGATAATCATATCCTTCATTAGGTCCAGGTATATTAATGAGGTTGAAATCTAGTTTAGTACGGTGGTGAAGTAAGTAACCTAAAACATATCTCAGTTGTGTAAGCAATATCATTTTATTATTAAGAATTTTAGACAATATAGTATGCAATTTTCTTCGATGAATTTAGTTATATTTACGTTAAATGGATTAAGTTTCATTCATTGCAATGTTATTCTACTTCATATTTCATATAATATCATCACACACTTTGGAAGTCATTATACATTCGTTGTTTTTTATATATTCTGTTTATTTTACTTAAAAATGAACGTTCGTAACATTTTTTATTTTGTATTTCTTTACAGGTAACACAACAATTATGACTCTTTTGAAAAGTCATACCTTAGCTTTGGCTATTCTACTATACCTTACGTTTCTAGCAACAGATGGCGCAACCCACACTGATACGATTTCTGATGGTATCAAGAATGAGCTCTTTAAGGTAGGTGGATAGATGAAACAAAAATGAAAAGATGGTTTCATATTTTTTTTTGTTTTGTTTTTGAGTGTGTAAGAAATATCAAGACTGTAATGATGCTTTATCAGTCGTAAAATTAAAATGAAAAAGAGAAGGTAGAAAAAAATCACAAATTCATTATCGCATACCTCTGTAATAATCAGGCTGGAACCCAAAACACCATGTGAATGCGTTACAACATAATATACAGCATTAACCTACTAGCAGTTGCCAATTTGGAAGTTTGTATAATTCAAATTATCACATTCTTCCCCGTCATAAACAAGACACATCCTCGTACGTTATCTCAGTGTCTAAGTCGACCATTAGTTTGGTACCAGTTTTTGTAGTAATATAAAAATATAAATTATTTTTTTATATCTATTGTTTGTTTTTGGTATTTGGAGCAAAGCTACTCGAGAGCTATTTGCGCTAGACGTCCCTAATTTAGAAGCGATAGACTAAAAAGAAGAGAGCTGGTTAAAACCACACACCGCCAACTTTTACGCTACTATTTAACCAACGAAAAGTGAAATTAACTATCACATTATAACGCCCCCACGCCTGAAGAGGGCAGCTTGTTAACGAAATTCGAACTCGCGACCCACAGTGTACAAGTCGAGTGCCCTAACCACCAGGCTATGCCAGACCTTTCTGAGCTGACTTCTGTGAGGACAGTTCCTCGAAACGTTATCTATGTGACCATAAAATTTTCCTAGCAGTTTTATAGTCTAGTTTATTAGTACTTATCTTCTACGGCACTAGTTTGTTCAAGCAAATTCGTTAGTTTTACCTTAACCTAGAATAAGCGATGGTGTTCCAAACTAGGTAAACCTCATGTTGAATGTGGGCCCGTGATTTGTTCGTTAAATGATTTTAATAACATGAACGTCACAGAAGAATAATAAATGCTGCATTTAATTCCGTTCTTTACTGCTGGGGTGTATTATATGTCTTACATAGAAAATAAGTGATTTCACAAAGTGGATTCAGTTGCCTGGTGATCATTCATTTTTATTTAGTTTATGTATGAAAAATATTAAAGAAGCTTAATTTCATTTTCTTTTTATATGAAATGCGGACTTAAATACTCATATTTTCGTCTTAGACTAATAAAGAGTGAAACTATCACATAAGTAAATCTTTTACAATCAGTTCCCACCATTTATATTAGAATATGACTTTAAAAGCTTCGTGAGAAAATAATAAATGTTTTTTTTATTGTGTATATTTGAAAATTAATTATAATATAATATTATTTGTCCGTTTAATACACAGATGTTACGAACATGATCGCGAATAATTAATTTATACTTATTTGTGTTATATTCATTATTAAAGAAAATTGTATTTTACTTGATAAGTCGCATAATATATTTTGCTGTCATAAGATATTTTTTCTTATTCTAGAAAATTGTTTTTAAAATATTTGAACTTTTATTTGATATTAAATGCTTCGCATCTTCACGTGTTAACTTTTTATTTTTTCACAACTTTTAAAGTATAAAAAATTAATTTCAGAATCAAGAAGACCAGAAGGAAACACAAGACTATAAGCGATCAATGTCATTCCTTCCAATGAGAGGTCGCAGAAAAGACGAAGAGAAGCGAGCAAGCTCATTTTTCGGGCTTCGTGGTAAAAAAGATTTCCCCAATGAAGACAAAAGAGCTATGTCTTTTTTCGGGCTTCGTGGTAAAAAAAATTTCGCCAATGAAGACAAAAAAGCTATGTCTTTTTTCGGGCTTCGTGGCAAAAAAGATTTCGCCAATGAAGACAAAAGAGCCATGTCTTTTTTTGGACTTCGTGGTAAAAAAGATTTCGCCAATGAAGACAAAAGAGCTATGTCTTTTTTTGGACTTCGTGGGAAAAGAAATTACGATGACAAAAGAGCAAGCTCTTTTTTTGGCCTCAGAGGAAAAAAGGACGGAATAGATGATAAACAAGAAAATTCTTTCTTCGGATTGAAAGGAAAGCCAAATAATTTGGAAGAGAAAAGGGGCATGTCATTTTTTGGACTTCGAGGGAAGAAGGATGATTACTTAAATCAAGCTAAACATTTTATGGATTTCTCTTTAAGTGATTATGATGAATATCATAATGGTCAAGAAAACCAGGGAGATGTTGATAATTATGTAAGTAACTTGAAAGAAGATTATTTAAGGAACCAGGATTTTAGTAGTGGTTCTTATCTGACCAACACATTGGAGGATCAAAAGAAACGAGCAGGTGCATTCTTTGGGATGAGGGGAAAACGAAATGCAGAAAAGGATCGAAACATTGAAACCAAAGAGGTACGAATAGTTCCAGGTCGGTGTTGGTTGTTGAAATATAATGTACAATTAAAATCTAATACAAAACTCTTAATGTTTAAAAATTCTAAATCTAATACAGCTAAAATAAAAAAAAAATTAAACCTTCATTACGAGGTGACTATATTTCTCAATTTTAAACAAATGATTAATGTCTTGATGACCAGATAAAATTTGATAGTTAGGATTAGAATTTACTCACTATCTAGGTTTATTGAGATTGATTTTTTTCTAGGAAATGTTTTAGAAATTTCCGAAATAAGGTCTGCCAGAAGAACTATTCAAATTGTACAATAATAATTAGAATTAATAATAAATAGTTTTACTCATGATTCACAGACAATCTGCATTTAGACAAACACAGTTATATACACAACTTACTAAAGCTTCCAAAAAATCGTCCATTTTCTGCATTTAGACAAACACACGTAGTTATATGCACAACCTACTAAAGCTTCCAAAAAATCGTTCACTTACGGACTTATAGGAAAAATGAAGAAGTTAATGTCATTGTTTTTGTTTTAATTTTAATTATCATATTTTTAAGTGTACATTTTTTTTCTATTTTACATCACAAAATAATATTATCTATGTTGGACTATTTTACACCACAAAATAATATTATCTATGTTGGACTATTTTACACCACAAAATAATATTATCTATGTTGGACTCCTTTTAGCATCATTCTAATTCTAATGAAGCAAGAATTGTAAAAATCTATCAAAATATCTCACTCTTGTTTCTTCATGCTCTTAAACCTATTAAGGTAACTTACGATAACAAAATTTAAGAAATATCCTTTGTGAAACTTAACCGATACATGCATAAAAAAGTGTGTTCATATTTTCACAGGAATAAAGAGAGAAGAATTTTTTGCTTCCCGAGGATAACAGCGATAGAGGGAATTACTGCAAATGTCAAGTTGAGCACAGACTGCTACAAAATGTTACTTACTTTTCGCATCTACAGGTTTTAAATAGTGTGAATAAACACACTATATAAATTGCATATTGATGTCCTTAAAAAAGGTTGTATGTTGTATACTTTCTATTATTGCACATACGTGTCACATTTTATTTTATCACTGTAAACAAGAAGTATTACAATACAATACGTAATATTGTTAAGAGCACAAGATTTTTGTTTTAGTTCTTTAGTATACAGGATTGCCTACTAGTATGTTCAACTGTTATTGATTCAGGAAAGTAACGAGAGTGTGAAATTTACGACTGTTTTCCTTTCTATGTGTTCATCTATTGTGTAGTGGCGGACCTGAATATTCGCTCTTACAAAATAAAACTGTGAATAATGCTTAAGTCTTATAACTCATATATAAATTTATTCAATCAATCCAAACTTAAAACGTTTACTGACAACCTGTAACACAGAAAGACAGTGGTAATATTAGCCTGGGTAATAATAATAATAAATCGTAAGGTTCGCGAGAAATTAAACTATTTATATCTTCTAAGCCATTTAGGGTAAAGGAGTTTCATTTCGGATTCTACGCGCTTGAGGAATTCATTGTCATGATACACTATACATTTGGTCGAGTCTCATGATTGCAATAAAGACGTTTCAAGAAAAGGAACTATCTGATATTTTAAGACATCTTTTTCGAATAATTTTCTTGAAAGAGGCGGTAGAACATCATGAAAAACTTGTGATTTATATTGAAGGTTATGAAAAACATCCTCACCATAGGAAATTGTTTTCAGTTAGTGTTTCTTCCAAAGAAGTTGTCATATCAGTCTGTAGTTGCAAGTGTTTGTTAAGTATATTTGAATGAAGGTTAAGGTTGTCTTCAAAAACATAATATTTCTATTGTGAATTTCTATTTTCCTTTGTTGTTTTGTAATTAAGTTTTGTTTATTTGAAATCTCCCTGACTTATAGCATAAAGTTTACTTTATTCAAAGAACTAACGTTAGCCTGACCCCCAATTTGTGATCATTGCCCTTAATACAAAAGCAGTTAAAATTATTATTGTCTTGTGAATCTATAAACATGAAAATTAAAAAAAAACAACAACAACAACATGAAACATAACTATAACTTCTTGTATTTTCCAAATTATACAATATTTCAAAATCTTTCTATTTCCACCGATCTTGAAAATGTTAATGCTTTATACAAATTTATAAATAAATACTGTTGCAAAAACTCCATTTCCGAAAAATGTGTTACCAATAACTTATAGAGAAATGTATAGTTCCACCTAAACGTTCTAACACATTTGTGTACGATATAATGTTGCAATTACGCCTTCACAAATTAAAGTTACAAATAATCTTTGCTAGATTAGAAACAGATCAAAGGGTAGAAAGTAATCCAGCCAGTATCATATGTCTCCACAAGCTCTTTGAAACAAATAAAGGGATTGACTGTTACTTTTATAAGAAGTCCACTGCTGAAAATGCAGTGTAATCATTGGCATCAGCGACATTTCCAACAAGCACAGAAAATTCTCACATAATCATCTATAAAATGAATCTGCAATTTGATGAGCATCTTATCGAGTAGCATCCATTGCTTTATTAAACTAGTTATCATCAAATACACTTTTGTGATAGGCATTGAAACATTCAATTTCTCTGTAGGATGCTAGTTACAGCCCTTGAAAAAAAAAATTGAGATTTCACATACAACTTATAAAGAAGATCCATTTTATCCCTAAGTCCTCGATATACAACAATCATATCCAGGTGCAAATGTTTTGAAGATCGTTTTGGATTTTGTGTTGTGAAATTGTTGGAACTTTATATCATCCACCAACAGGATACGGACCAAACACCGACACAATGTATCCACCAGTAGATATAACTATCAGTAGTTTGACGAGTGGTCGCTCCTTTTGGCTTTGAAACTTCACCTCTGGAATGATGTGTCCAAATCACTCAAAAATCAGAACGAATTAAACGTGTTGTTTCTTTTCTTATACCAAAAGTATATAGAACTGTGGAAACTATTCTGTTGGCTAACACATTACAAAATTTAACGAGAATAACCCTCAAACACAATTACAGGTATTTTACATGAAATTCCTTCAAAAATTAAATCCTGGAATACATTTCATCAAACTTGTGAGGCCTATCAAAACATATTCCATCTGACCTTTCGATATTTTTTGCTGTCGCAACTATCTTCTCTGAAAGATCAATCAGACGTGTTATCATCTTTATAATTCACCACTATATTGTTGTGATATGTGCCTTAATTCATGGTGTATACAACATATCTTAATTACCACTGCATGACTAAATAATGTTTGTTAATATTAAAATTACTTCAGTATAAGCTTTATAAAGTATTTAATATCAGCTAGAGTACCAGTCCCCTGAACGGAAGCTATTATGTAAATTCATGATTAATGAAAGGTTATGTTAGGACATGAAAAGTTGCTTCCCCTATACGTAATTGTAAAAAAAACGCAAAAATGCCTATAGAAATTGCAAAACAAAAGTGAAGCCGCAAGTTTGCATGTATCCCCGCATAGACCCAAAAAACCTTCATGCCAAATGGTGTGAAGAGCCATCAACAGGGGGCGAAGTGGTGGTAAAAAACGCCCATAAAAACTGCAAATTTATATGTATCTCCCCATGGACCCAATGAACCTCCGTACCAAATTTTGTGAAGATCCAACTACAGGGGGAGGGAGAGAAGTATTGGTAAAAAACCGCAAAACTGAAAACCTCTATGTACCCCCGCATGGACCTAATGAACCTCTATACCAATTATGGTGAAGATCCATCCACATCCTGTGAAGTAGATACATGGACATACAACAGACAGTTTTATTATATTTATATAGAAGCAATGTGGAAAAAGACTTTTTCTTATAGCAAAGCCACATCGGGATATCTGCTGTGTCCACCGAGGGGAATCAATCCCCTGATTTTAGCATCGTAAATCCGAAGACTTACCACTGTCCCATCGGGTGACGTGGCAAAGGCTTATTGGTTCCATGAATACTAAACAAATTTAATTTATATTGTTTAGCCATGCAATTGTCTCTAATGGGCAAGTTGCGACTTTACTGGCTGATACGTATGGTGTACATAAGATTAATGTAGATTTTACCAGTAATTAAATTTTGTATATTGTACATTTTCATCTAAAAGAAAACAGAGTTTAGATGCTTCTAAATATGATAAAAACAATTATTGATATTTTAGCATATATAGTAGTTTAATGATAAAATATTCCGCGTTGTCTTTGAACTATATTTTATTTTGATATTTATATCATCTCTTAAAAAATAAACACTATACGTAAGAATAAAGGAGTTTTAAATTTAACATTCTCATTAAAACGTTAATGCATAGTTAGTTACAAGTTAGCAACGTTAGGTGAATAGTTCGCTTCCATTGGGATATCAACATTGTGTACTATAAATACACACACAAACTAATCTGTCTATTTATTGTTACGCACAAATCTACTCTATCCGTGCTCTTCTCACTGCGGGAATTGAAACCGGGAGGTAAAGGTTTTAGCATAAAGCTACACAATGTGCTACCCGCTCTTTGTTCACCACGGAAAATCGAACCTAGGATTGTAGCGTTGTAAGGCCCACTGGAGGCTTTACTGATGAGCTTTAAAAACAGAAAACACAGCAACCGTGATAATAAATGGTCAATTCAAGTAATCTTTGTAAGAATTGTGTGCTTTAGAGATAAGCCACATTGGGCTATCAGCTGTGTCCACCGCGGGATTTTAGCGTTGTAAGTCCATAACCTTACCTACCGTAAGAATGGTTAAAATATTGCGAACTGAAACACATTGTTTGCGAAACGTAACATTTATAGAATATGAAAGGTCAACGTGATTATTACGTAAAGTCCAGAAGTCAATCATGTGATACCATTCTCGATAGGGGGAAAAAAAATCAAACGTTTTATTCATAAAACAATGAGTAAGTTGTAATAAAAAGTTTCGCTTACATATCTATTATCACGTTTAGGTCTCGATAATTTACTTAACGATTTTAACGCAAAATTTAATAATATGCGTGGTATATTTTACCACTTTCTATAGCGAGGTTTCTACGGGTATATGTAACTTGTTTATATCTGTATTATTTTGAATCATTTAATATACTTCAATTTCATCTACTGGCTGAGAGATCTTCACTATACACACGTCAAGTTACCAGAAAAACATAATGTAACCTATAATATAACCTACTAATTCTCCTTGTAAATAAAAAAATAAATTGCGATAATGCTTTACTGAATTATTCAATACTGTATAATATACAAATTGATAGGAACAATATTCCAGAGATGTTTAGATAAATGATTAGAAATATCAGTGATGTTTATTAGCAATTCAGACTTCAATACGGAATCAGAGTAATGTCTACTGTAATGATTAACAGAAGTTTGTAATTAAGCACAAACCTACACAATGGGCTATCTGTGTTCTGACCACCACGGGTATCGAAACCCGGTTTCTGGCGTTGTAAGTCTGAAGACACACCACTGTAAGGCGATTAAGAAAAGATTCCACAAGTTAAGCAACCAAGTTCTAACCACAATAAATGGAATAGTTCGAGACTTTGAAAATTCTACTGAAGGTTAGGTGAAACTGAGAAGGCCTTATTATAATCGCTCAGAGAACAGTTAAGTTATTAACGTGGTCTGCTGCAGATACATAGGAATGATTCGAATAGTCAAATGATCAGTTCATCGAGCAAGTTATCCACTCTAACAATTATAAATGTGCGCCATCTGTTGAACATATCTTCAACCAATACTGAGATAGTAACTTTAAAAAACAGTGTGTACTAATTTCAAGAACGATTAAAGTACGAGAAACGTGACTACAAAGAAATCTACTTAACCTGTTTTAGAAACATCCAAGTATTAAGTACTGGATCTTCATCAGCATTACGAAACTACAATATTTCAAACTAGCGTTTCTTCACTAGTTTCATCTTAGTTAATAAACTTATCATCTGAAGAAGGATTGAAAGGCTATCCTAATTGGAAAGACATGGAAGGGAGTAAGCTGTTAAAATGTTAGTATTATGAAGTAAAAATCCTGAATAATAAATAAATAAATTAGAGATTTTGAAGCAGACTAACGAAGCTGTTCCATAGATGTATATTTTAAAGAAGCAATGCTGTCTGTTCCAACATTCCACACGACTGAATTGTAATTGTTTAGTTAGAATAAAAACGTTGACTTACTAGAAATACGCATCACAGAACCATCATGCAAAAAAAAATTAACAAATATTTATTTTATTAAAATAATAATCTAATTTAATATTTCACTATCATTCTGTACATTTTGCTACCGTTACTTGTTGAATTTGAATAAAGCTACTCGAGGGCTATCTGCACTTGCCGTCCATATTTCAAAGTGATAGACTAGAGGGAAGACAGCTAGTCAACACTACGTACTGCCAACTCATGAGTTACTCTTTATCAACGAATAGTGGAACTGACAATCACATAATAACACCCCACAGCTAAAAGAATGAGCATGTTCAGTGATGGGGGTTTGATTTCACAACCCACAAATTGCGAGTTGAGCTCCTTAACCATCAGGCCCATCAAGTGAGATGATGACTGTAATTGTTTCTGTAATGACATCTTACTTTGTAAAACATTAAGAAGGGTCAGAAATATTTCAGTAAATATTTATTGATAAATTGTAAGAAAATATAAAATTAAATTGTCCTGTTCTATATAATTATTCATGAAAATTATAACCAAATTTAACATAACTGGAAAAATATATGCCCTACAACAGGATGACTTATGAATACACCTAAAAAATTGTACACTTACAATAAAAAAATCATTATTTTAGTTTTGTATCCCCATTTTCTATTTATGTTCTTGTTTAACTGCTCTCAAAACTATTAGAAACAATACCATACATACAGTACACAGCATGTTTCATGTCTTCCCACGTGGTTCCAATAATTACCTGCTAACTCAAACTAATTAAGGACATACACAGGATGGAAGAAATAACAATAAATTTATCTTTATAGGTCCATTAAACAAAGGCTATGTTAAAAATCGTTACCAGTATTATTGTGACATACTGTAATATCACACAGACTATCAACATACAGATCATGCTTCAAGTGCCTTAAGTTATACTCCAATACATTTTACTGTTACTTTACTCCATTGTTTCAATAATAAATATCATTTATTTTACACAAAATGGTTCTCGCATTCCAAGTTAGGGTAGAAACAAAGGAAGAAAAATAAATTAAGCGATAATGTGAAAGGTTTCGTTTATTATTTCTTCAAGAAGAAATTTAAAGAGAGTAAAGATAATTCAAATATTAAAAAAAATTATGTTTATATATATTTGTCAAGAGATATGAGAACATTAAAGTACAGTTCCAATAATGCCATTCAGGTACAAAGGTACATTGGAAGAAAAAAAGTGTATTTTTAAGCATGAAGGTCATGATTGCAAAAATTATTGTGAATGGGAAGTACCGACTTTCACGTGAGTTGATTTTTTCAAGAGATTTTCTAATAAAGCACAAAAAAAATGTAAAATAGTGTTTAAAGAAAACACTATGAAAGCTAGAGAATTTTACAAATTGTTTATTTAACAGTAGTAGAAACTTTTCATCAACTCTACAAAATAGTTATCAAAATTGAACTTAATCAGTACAATTTTTTCTTTACATTTAAAAATGAAAATGGTTATAATCAAAACATACGAGATATTCATCATGATTTAATAAATGTAAGGCAAATATCTTTGTAAACACTTTACTGGCTCTACAAATATAATTGAAAATAATCTTGACTAGTACAACTCTTAATGTGTACAAATTAAAATGGCTTTCATCAAAATCGTGGCATTTAAAAGTTTTTCAAACAGATTCAATATGAATATTTGTAATGAACCAAATATGGCTAAAATGTGATAAACTTGATATATGGCCACTACCTACAGTATCAAAAATTTAGTTAATCAAAATAATATATACGTATGTATTTGAATGATTCTTTCATCAAATTAAAAACTGATATATTTACAATATCTAATTTCTTTTCATAGCAGGATTATCATAGGCAGCCTTCATTCCAGTCCTCTGTGAAAACAAAATTTAAAAAGCTATTATTACATGCAATAGGAGATACAAGTAACAAACCAGATATTACAGTAATTCAGGTACAAAAAAAAATAACAACAAACACAAAAATTGAATAGAAAAGCCAGTCTAATATAAAATCAAACTGATGAGAAGTCAATCACGTTTGAAAAAAAAAGAAACATTGTAATATCAAGTGTTTTACAGATAATCGGTTTGGCAATCGTAATTGGTAGAATCACGGAAAACCGATTACCAAGAAATTAAAAATAACACCATCCAGACCATTTATTCACAACAACAATTTCCTGATTTCTAAGTATGCTTACAATCACGACCCTGTACTTTTCCTTTTGACACAAAATGTTATTCACCATAGAATAGAATATCATCAGTTAAAATAATCTCTGTTTGTTTCTCATTTATTTACATAAGTTGATACATTTAACAAAAGAAAGGTTAAAAAACGATGCTCTGCACATCACACCCGTTTCTTTATGGACTTTAGATTAGCAAACACTTGATAACAGCACCTTATGCACAGAGCTAATACACACTGTGTACACTTCGTGTGCAAGTTGAAATTAGTACAAGGATGCTCTGTGAACGACAAACATTCATGCCATGTGCACACTGAGTTTATTTATTATGGTACATACACCACGTGTGTGTAAGCCTACATTACATTATGTGGAGGCCTTAGAATCATACTGGATTATGAATAAAAACTTTCAAACACTGTCATTTTTATTTGGTTTAGAAAGTGGTTTAGTACAAAATGTGTAGAGTGATAACAAAAGTTTTCGATCTTATGGTTGAAGTGAATGATGAATTTAGGCAATGAACCTCAACAGTTTATTCGTCTCTCACAGTGGTCACATAACGTTATGTATCAATCAGGTACCAGCCAAAAAATCAGTCCCCATTTTAATTTTTCTCTTGTTCAAATAAAAAATGGAAAAGAGAGTGTACTTTTTTTTCATGGCACATTTATTAATAGCTTCAACCATTTCAAATTTAATAAAGCTTCAAAGTACATTCTCTGTAGTCGTTAAAGTTTTTAAGTTTAAACTGTCAACGATACTACACAATGACGTTATCAACTTTACTGTACATAATCGGAATCGAGCTGATTGTGGCTTTGATAATTGGCAATTTCCATTTGTGACATGATCGGTAAAACAGTAGTGTCATCAGCAAGAAGAAAAATTATCAAGAGAAAATGAATAATGTTAATCACCTATAACAAATTGGTTGTTCAAAAATGAAATTTTAACTTTTTTAACAAATTTTCTTCAATAACAACACTGGAGAAATGAAAAACTAAAGAAACCCAAAAACTATACCGTAATAATATACTGACATTTTGGATACAAGTGCCTTGAATTACTATGTAACATCAGGGAGATTGTTGTTTCATTGACTGAGGAATGGAACAGGATTATTCAAAATATTGTATTTCTACTGATCAGAAGTTTTCTCATTGTGATGTATTTCTTTCTACCAAATGAGACTCACTCAGAGAAGTTGAGTCAAACAGTTTGATCACACTTAAATTGTGAGTAGATATGTTTCATGGGTTGTAACTAGTAGTATATGTATTCATTCAGAAAAATTAAAGGACTTGGACAGTCTGATCACACTTAAATTGTGAGCAGTTATGTTTCATGGGTTGTAACTAGTAATATATGTATTCGTTCAGAGAAATTGAAGGAGTTGGACAGTCTGATCACACTTAAATTGTGAGCAGTTATGTTTCATGGGTTGTAACTAGTAATATATGTATTCATTCAGAGAAATTAAAGGAGTTGGGCAGTCTGATCACACTTAAATTGTGAGCAGTTATGTTTCATGGGTTGTAACTAGTAATTTATGTATTCATTCAAAGAAATTGAAAAAGTTGGACAGTCTGACCACACTTAAATTGTGAGCAGCTATGTTTCATGGGTTGTAACTAGTAATATATGTATTCATTTAGAGAAACTGAAGGAGTTGGACAGTCTAATCACACTTAAATTGTGAGCAGTTATGTTTCATGGGTTGTAACTAGTAATATATGTATTCATTCAGAGAAATTAAAGGAGTTGGACAGTCTGATCACACTTAAATTGTGAGTAGTTATGTTTCATGGGTTGTAACTAGTAATATATTGTCCACAAAACTGATTCATTAAATTTAGTGAATGAGGTTTTTTAAAAAATATTATAAGTCTTAGTTTTGAAATACCAAGAGAAGAACCTCGGGTTTTTGTTGCTAAACAAACAAAGAAAATCTACAATGCTAGAAGTTTTGTTTTTAAATTTCAAGTACATTTATGTACCACAAATAATTTAAAAGATTTCAGTAAGTCTAAATTATGTTTAAAATACTCAGGATACAGCCAACTTCTCTTTAGTTTAAAGGTACTTGATTTTTATGTATATTATTAACACTGAGCCTATATTTGAAAAGGACATTTACAGATAATATTTCTTATCTAGAATTGATCAATTCATGATTTAAGGTATAGAAGAATTAATGAAAAGTTAAAATTAGATAAAAGAGCAGAGTTTGGCAAGCTCTTACATCTTGGTTTTGAGAAGGAAGTTCTTCTAAATAGTGATCATCATTATGGACCTTCTTTTTACTTTTTAGCCTGTAAGAGAAAAAATTTGGAATAAGACACAGATTTAAGAAAGACTTCATCAAAATCTTATACACACAAGTTAAACCCACTGTAGATATTGCCCTTTCAAGTGAACCCATAACTTAAATTACTAGTATTATACACTCAGGCCAAACCTACTGCAAATGTTATCTTCTCAAGTGAACCCATAACTTAAACTATTAACATTGTACACCCATGTCAAACCCACCTTATCAAGTGAACCCATATCTTAAATTACTAGTCTTGTATACTCAGGTTAAACCTACTGCAAATATTACCTTCACAAGTGAATCCATAACTTAAACTATTAGCATTGTACACCCATCAAACCCACCTTGTCAAGTGAACCCATATCTTAAATTACTAGTCTTGTACACTCAGGACAAACCTACTGCAAATGTTATCTTCTCAAGTGAACCCATAACTTAAACTATTAACATTGTATACCCATGTCAAACCCACCTTGTCAAGTGAACCCATATCTTAAATTACTAGTCTTGTACACTCAGGTCAAACCTACTGCAAATGTTATCTTTTCAAGTAAACCCATAACTTAAACTATTAACACTGTACACCCATGTCAAACCCACCATAGATAACACCTTGCCAAGAGAACCGATAAATTATATTACTAGTGCTGTACACAGGTTATTTACTCTACTGAAATAATCTAAAGCCAAGTAAAACAACAAATACATTAGTGTTGTACATATAAAACAATACAGCTACATATATATATACAATCACAGCATAAAGTAGGTAAAAAACTAAAACACTACATTATAAACATAGATCAGTGAAGCTGCAAAAATTGTGCTCAGCATCCACAAATCAATAATTTGGAAAAAAATAGTGAGGACACAAATCAACATAGCTTTAGAATCTACAGTCCCATAATAACATAAATAAAAACAGTAGAGTAATGTATATATATATACACACACATACTTGGATATTGAAACTCCAGCAATAATAATAACAAGTAAGAGAATCGATCCAAGAACTGCACCCACAATAATAGTTTTCATTTTGGCACCTGAAATAACAAATGAAGATGATTGAAAACAGAATAATATATCAGAAGAAATATTATATTAAAACAATTTTGAGGGAAATAAAATACTTGATCAAAGTTTTGGCCAAAGAAACTAAGTCTTAGTGAAGGTCATATCGAGACAACATGCTCACCAGAAATTTCCCTTTCTATAGTAGTAGTTCATTCCTCTTCTTTATTTTCAGATTTTAGTTACATTTGTTATTCTTGTTACAACATAAGTAAAGTTTAATAAGGACCAAATTATTTTAGTTTTAAGAATAGTGATAATACATATAATACTTAAAACTATTATTTTCATTTCTGAAAATCAAGAGTAGCTGTAATAGTAAATGCTTCGATGATATGAAATTTATTAGCTCTAAATATAGTATACAGTTTACCTTTCAGTTAGTTAATTGAAGTTTAAACTACAGCTTAAAATATGGTGACACTGAAAATTACATTTAAACTCTCCTTACTTTTAAGAATCTCATCTTTTGTATCACACAAACGTCCACTGTAACCTTCCTTACATCTGGAAGAGAAAACTTGTAGTTATTTCTTCATGAAAATAACAACTATATGATTAACTGAAGGCTTTTATAAAAACAGCAAGTTTTTATAAGCATGTTCTTTTGAAGCCACCCCAATCAGTATGTCTGTGGACTAATACTGCTAAAAACTGGGTCTTGATACCCTTGTTGGGCAGAGCACAGATAGTCTTTTGTGTAGCTTTGTGCTTAATAAAAAAAAACAGCAACAACTTTTGAAGCCACATTTCAAATATTATTACAGTTTAACACATAACCATTAAATATATCACTGTATTACATTTAAAATATGTAAAGAAGTTCAACAAAAATTATCAACTTAAAAAATTCGTATTACAATATGCTGTTATTAATTTATTAAATCCAAGATCTATTTAATTTTACAAGTTTCCTAAACCTAGAGGGAAGAACACATCTGTGAGAGAAGTGACATTTATCACTAATGAAAGCAATTAAACATTAAATTTATTCTTATTTATTTTATTCAGGATTTATAGTACTTTTTGGCAAAGATTTAAGAGAAATTTAAGGCTTATTTACAATTATTTAGGAATTGTAGGGATAATTACGATTTTCTTACAATAGATTTTCTAAATTACTACATCATAAACTTACCTATTTTTCAAACAAACTCGCACATAACTTATTTTGATTCTCAGCTCTTTTCCCTCTGAATACTAGTCTTCAGCATTGATTATCATTGCATAATTCATACAGGTTAATACTGTGTACTGATTTATGAATATTTATGTTTGAATTATGGTGATGATCAAGCTGAAGATGAGAGTTCAGGGGAAAAACTGGATTGAAATAGAAACTACATAATAAATAGCTAGAAATCATTGATTAAAAAGATACAGAAACAGAAACATCCAACAAACTTTACTGTGTATAATTCAGCTTCTCAGTAAGAGAGATATAAAATACAGGAATTTTAACAAAATCCAAAAATTAGGAATTTTAGAGATGCTTTAAAGTCTGTACATTTTTCAGTTTAGTAGAATAATTTTATTTTTCTATCAGTTGTAACTTAGTACGAGGTTCTGATAGACGATGTATAAGATATATTTTGATTTAAAATACATTACATTACCAAAAGCATTGATACAGTAAGAAAATATGCAAGGTCATTAATTCACTACTGTTTAATTCATTTGTAATATGGTGTTGGTCTACTTTTAGTATACATCACAGCTCAAATCTTGTCACCAATACTTTTACTAAATTTTGATAGATATAATGCATAATATTGCTCCATCCCTCATTTAGGGCAAGTGTCAATTCAGTAGTGGATCACGGTCTGTTGACTATGGCCCAAAGGTAGCAATCAAGACATCTCAGAATGGTTTGATTGGATTTAAGTTAGGGCTCTGTGCTGGCCACTATACATTTTGAATTTTACTGTCCTTGAACTAGTTTCTAACAGACACAACAGAATGGCAAGATTTGTTTTCATGTTGGTAGATGTAATGGCCCTTACTGTGATATTGCATAAAAGCTTGTAGCACAGCATTGTCTAAAAAATCTGAATATAAGATGAGCCATTCCTCCTTCCCTTCTGTTCAATCAAATAATCCAGTTCATACCATGGACATAACAGCTTTAACCATAGGAACAGCATAATATTTGGCTGGTTGATGCCAAACCATTTGTCCACCAGATGTAAACATGTTCATCACTCCACATGATAGTTTTCTTATGTTAAATATGCCAATATAAACATTCCAGGAATCTCTTTGTTTCATTTCATTTTGAAAAGAACAAAAATTCTATATCTGCTGTATTCCCTTATGAAGTTCATGTGGGAAAGATTTATCAAGGGGTTAATTTCAAGTTTAGGTTTACTGCTAATAATATCTTTTGTATCGTCACATATTTCTAAGGCAGATTAATTTATTCAAACAATCATATGTATATCTAAATTAAGGTTTAAGTTATGCAAGTGTAGATCCTAAATACGAGACACTAGATACACAATTCTGCTCTGGCTTGTATAAAATCAAATTTAACAAGCATATATAAGACTCAATAAAATTATGGGAATCTCAGACAAAATAAAAAAACAAATCATCATCTTAGTAAGTATTAACATAATATGTAAAGACATATTTGAGCAATATATTAAGATTATCAATTTGAATTTGCTAATGTGAAAGTGAATAAGTAAAAGTATATTTTTAACATTTGTGTTTGGAAATAAATTAATCTAAGCCTTTTTCTTTCAAAATAGTTTAGATTGTGAAAACATTTAATTTTTATTAGAGAATCATGCTTTATTAATGCAGGGAAGGTGAACCTAAATTTAAGTAATTAATATAGTAATAAAAACTCAATATACAGTCTATATGTATATATATATATGAATAACTGAAAGAAAAGAAAAAAAAACAGTTAACAAATAACAGCAGGTTCAAACTCTACTTAATAACTTCTGAACAAAATTCACAATGTCTGCCCTCTACCAATAGTTAAAATTCTTAATGACTGATTCTGTACATTTTATAGGTAGGTGTGTAATTGTGTAGTTTTTATGAATTTCATACAATACTAAAAGCCTTTATACTGGATGAAAAACTAGAATATGATAACATAATAATATACATTATTAACTACATATATTCCAAAACAAACAACAGAGAATGTTTACTACTGCCATAGAATATAGAAGCTATAAGAGCTTCATACTACGATCTTAACATAAATGCAGTGCTGTAAAATAAAAAGCACTGATACTGAAGTTTTCAGAGACATTACAAATTCAAAAAGGTTAATGACTAAATAGGTAACAAAATCTAAGTAAAGCATATTTGCAGAAGAAACACTTAAACCATGCTAACATCTAATGACTAAACAGATAATAAAAACAAAGGAAAACTTACTTGCAAAAGAAATCATTTTTCAATGTCTTACATTCCCCTCGTCCACCACATGGGTTATCTTCACACATTTCTATGAAACAAAATGTTTAGTTATAACATATACAGTGCTATATGAAACATTTTATATACAAGCTTAAATATATGTTGCTACTGTTAATTCTTGTTTCTGTATTTGTAATTCTTCCATCAGCATATCAAACTAATTAAGATACTTTTAAGCCTATCCATGACTCCATATACCATTTGTTCATTATTAGAACATTCTCTGTATTTCTCTTAAAAAGACTCAGAATATAAAAATTGATCTCTAAAATAAGTGAGAAATTTTCAGTGTAAAATTTAATTACTGTTGAGACATTAAATGGGACCACTATTTTCTTATAAACTGTAAATTGTAACATTCATACATTTTTACAAGAATAAAATTTGGAATGTTTTCTGTGTTTCAAAGACATTTTCAGGACTGTTTTATCCTTATACAAGGCAATTTCTTTATGACAAAAATACCAAATTAACAATGATAATAAAACACTTAAAAACATAAAAGTAACAGGTTATATTTAGAAATAATGATTTCATAGCATATCATATATGTCAATTTTGTATATAATTTCTTATTATCTTTAAATTTTGTGAAGTGTTTTAGCATGACAAAACAGGTATAAATATAGCTGAATCTAAATGTATGTATTAATTCATAAAATAGTAAATGGAATTATATGCAAAGTACAGTAGCTATTTTAATTATTAATACTGTTTGAGAAGAAAATTAATTGCAATCACATGTATAATTAAAAATTAGAGATGGCTTGAATGGATAATGAAGAATATCAACCCATCTTCAAACTTTTATTTTCTAAATGGTGAGTTTCCTCGTCATCAAATTTACATGTACGATTGTTTGATGAATGATGAACTAATCCGAATATAGAAAAAATATTTTCCAATGTGGGCCATTGTTTTATAGTTTGTAATATAGAATATTAAGTTTATTTCTCCAAACATTCACCTCCCTTTCACGTATTTAAAATCTTTGCTATGAAATAAAGTAATAAAAACTAAAAACCCAGTGAAATCTTAAAATCATCGTGCAGCATTAATATAGAGCAGCATTAGTTATAGAGCAGCATTAGTTATAGGCAGCATTATTATAGTGCAGCATTATTTATAGTGCAGCATTAGTTATAGAGCAGCATTAGTTATAGTGCAGCATTAGTTATAGAGCAGCATTAATTATAAGCAGCAATAGTTATAGTGCAGCATTAGTTATAGAGCAGCATTAGTTATAAGCAGCATTAGTTATAGAGCAGCATTAATTATAAGCAGCAATAGTTATAGTGCAGCATTAGTTATAGAGCAGCATTAGTTATAGTGCAGCATTAGTTATAGAGCAGCATTAATTATAGAGCAGCATTAATTATAAGCAGCATTAGTTATAGAGCAGCATTAATTATAAGCAGCAATAGTTAAAGAGCAGCATTAGTTATGCACCTCCTAATTTATATTTAGTTAAATAAAAAATACACACACACACACAGCTTTCTCATGTAACATATTTTACTAGTTTATTCCATAAAGTCTCAAAACATTATATCTTTAATACAATCATGCAGGAAAAACATCAATATGAATGTATTATGGGAGTAAAGAAAATGTGTTAGGGTATCTTTACAAATCTAAACTATTGATACTCAGTTCCCATTTTCTAACAGTTGGCCCCATAGAGAACATATAGACTATTTTCCTCATCTTATCTACAACCTTTTATAAGAAGCACAGGGAAATATTGAAAACAAGCCTTATCATAGAACTTCCAAAGGAAACTAGTTACTGTTGTTTGATGACGAGGAACCCACTTTGAGACTAATAATGGCTGGAGACGGCTTGAATGGGTAATGAAGAAAAACTTTAATATAACAGCAAATGTACAACGTTTCGACAAGGTTTTGTCATCATCAGGTACCTTCGACAAAACTTTGTCGAAACGTTGTAC